TAGTCAAGTCAGTCGATGTTCATCAAGAGAAGTTTTTCACAATCAACAAGTGGGTGCTGCGAAAGAAAAATATAATTTACGTTTGAATTATGCTTGCGGCATCTCCAGCAAAGTGAAGCGTCACTTTCCCACCATTCGGAACCAGATGAAGGTTTTTGAGAGGCAGAAGAAGTGAATTCGCGCCGACGCTTGGCATTTGCGACCCTTCTTGGACGTGATGAGTTAGGATCCGGCGACGGGGAAGGGCTGGAAGATTGTTTTCGTTTTCCTTTCGATAATGAAGGCGGTAGTACTGGGCCTAGTTGAATTTCCAATGGTTGCGAAAACACATCAACCTCACCGTACAGAAATGGATCATTTACACCTACGAGAGTTGTGGGATGTGTCGCAGAAGATTGGTAGGAAATCGGTCTTGATAAAGGATATTAGCCAGAAATTCGTATACTTGGGTGATGAGATACTGACTGTGCATTTTGGACTTGTTGTTCAGGATAGCGAGAATGTGGAGGAGTTTGTCGAAGAGGTAGTAGCTCATCGGTTGCGGATTGTTGAGGATGCCTCGATTGGGTCTTGACAGACTGATGAAAAGTCTCTGTTTGTGTAGGTACTGGTGCTAAGTATTTAAGCGCTTCTGGTAGTTGCTGAGGCTTGTGATTTTTCGTTATATTTGTAGGTTTGGCGATGGTATGTGAACCATCTAGCAGATCCAGTAAAGATTCCTCGGTCACGGAGGACCGTTCCAGGCTATTAGGATCACGAGATGATCTCGACGTGTCGGACGCATACTGACTTTCCAAAGTGTTCACCGGCAGTGGAACTGTGTATCCGAAGTCAGGGTCGTTATAGCTGTTATCGTAATTCCATTGCTCAATCGTATCGATGATATTCTGTTGCATTGGACCCTGATATTCTGAGTCGGTGCCAGGAGCGGGGGCGGGGATGAAAGAGTATTCATAAGGCTCGGATCGGCCTGGTATTTGTCGGCTTCCTTCACTCATAATTTGAAGCCGATATTGGTATGGAATCGATCAATAAAAAGTCAATCGTACCAGAGATCCGGCTCATGGCTTCATTTAACTACTTTACGAAGTAATGCTTTGTGGATCAAAGTTGATGATCAAGCGGAGCATTAACAAGTCCGGTTCAATTTCCGTCCGTCAACATGGATCACACCAAAAAAATAAACGGTGTCAACTCCACAAGAAGCTCGGAGTGTTAGTTGCACAGTCAATATCGCTGCAGGGGTTTCGATCAATATGATTGCTGCGATGTGATAAAAGGTCGATAAGTACCGAATGCAACCTCTCTACTCGGTTCAAGGAACATCCGTGATAGATGATCTTTCTCGATTGATGGTGAGAATATACGTCCATGTATGTATATACTTGATGGGATAGGAGATCATTCTACTGTACCTCGCTCGATACTCCGGAGCTTGCACATGAAGCTTGTGTTCTATAGATGCATGAGAAGATCTGGGCAGGGCAGAGACTCTTTAGAAGTGGCTTCCTTCTGCCGAATACCATTTGCTAGTTTCGGTACTTGTGAATGTATCGAAATCTTTGAATGGAAGAAGAAATAAGGATAAAGTTCATGGTAAAAACAAATGGATATTCTGTTCTTTTTCCGTCTGAGGTAATGATTTTCGGCCATTCCGAATTTCTTGGCATATCACTTCCCCATAATGCTGGTCAATGTAAGTGAGTGTTCCTTTTGGCCGTGTGTTGTTCCACTACCTTGAAAACCCTTCAAACGGGAAGAAGAATAACTAGCTCCCTCCCCACTCTGTACCTAGGTAGCTTCTTCAATATTGATGAAGTATTTCTTTTCGAAAAGTAGACATTTGACAGTTTCGTTGTCAATGGCTGATGTCTCACAATTTTCCTCATCGTATCAATATTACTCGTTCTCATATTTTCATGAAGGTTCAGACACTTCTTTACCCCTTCATCAATCTTCGCAGAAGCGATAATCCGAGCAACAACTTCAAAATCTCGGTATTCGTCATTCGATTGGAGAAAATCAATAATAAATGATAAAGATAAGCTCAGTCAATAAGTCCAAATCAAGGTTATCAAGCATGGTACCTGCTCTGCTCTCTCCCCCTCTGTTGGAATCAGCTCCAGTCTCCAGTCTCCAGAATTGGAGACATCGTTGATATATCCCTTGACGATAAAGATAAGAATTCAATCCCGTTGTGTCTAGACAATCTTTTGAACATGGCTCTAGAACAGTCGAAAGATGAACGCGCCCAAATAGTATTGCATTTTCAAAATAGCTTTATCAATCCCTCATCAATCTTTTTAGTTCAAGACAGAACCAAAATATTCATGGACTCACAATCCACCATGGTGTTGAATATGTCTCGGTTCCAAACATATTCTTCATCTCTTGTTTGATCTCGAATTCAAGGTGTTCTTCAAAGATTGTAGATTTTGGCAATTTTGATATGCCGGGTTTTCGTCCTGCTGAGTCGGGGTAAGTATCGTCGTATCCCACACCTACCTAGGTATGCACTTATCCCTCATTTGGTGTATGATTTTCGTGCTCGGTGTATCAGTACAGAGTAGATCCAATCACAACAATGTCCTCCATTTTTGCATCATAGCGTCATCATTGAGCAACGTCAACTTCCTATAAAAAGAAATGAAAGACATCTCCAACGGATTGTTCAGATCCTGATGGAATCCAACCATATACAATACATCAAAATTGACAGAGTTCCCTTACTTCTCTAAATTTAACAAAGGGCGCTTTTGGGTAAATACCTACGTGATCATGAATCGGCCATCTCAACCTGATTGGTATACAAGCTCAACCGATACTGAAATACAAGTCCTGACATTTCGATCCGATGAGCCTTCTGATCCTCGCAATTTTTCTTTCTGGAGAAAATGGTCTATTGTGGGCAGCATCACATTGATCGATCTGACAGTCTCCTGGGGAGCATCTGGGTACTCACCAGCAGAGGAAAAATTTATCCAGTTCTTCAATGTCAGTTCCGAAGTTGGAGTATTGGGTCTCTCACTCTATATTCTCGGTTTGGCATTGGGACCGATGACATTGGCGCCCTTATCTGAATATTATGGGAGGTCTTATCTATACATCATTCCTTATGGAACATTCCTTCTATTTTTGCTTGGAACAGCACTCGTACAGAATATCGAAGGATTTCTTGTTCTGAGATTCTTATCAGGACTCTTCGCTAGTGTGACAATTGCCAACTTTGGTGGAACAATAGCTGATCTGTGGCCAAGAGACCAAATAGGGCCAGCAATGAGTATTTTTCTCTGGGCCGCAGTGTGTGGGAGTCCTTCCGGATATTTCTTGATGTCTTTCGTTGCACAAAGATATGGCTGGCGAGAAGTTTTCTGGGCTTTACTAGGGATTTGTGGAGGATTCTGGTTGATACTCGTGGTGGTACTTCTTGTTTTCGGGAATGAGACGAGACGTTCAGTGATTCTGCGAAGACGTGCAAATCGACTAAACAAAGCTGCCGGAAGAATCGTCGCCACGGTCCCTGTGGAAATGCAGAGCAAATCTTTGGGACAATTATTCAAAAACACTCTTTCTCGACCTTTCCGCTTTCTAGTAACAGAGCCTGTGATCATCTTTGCAGCGCTCTACAATGGTTTCTTGTACGGACTTTCGTTTCTCTTCAACAGTGCTTTCAATCTAGTTTTTGGCAAGATGGGTTATGGTTTCGGTACAATTGGTGTTGGTCTTTGCTTTCTTGGACTTATCGTTGGCATCAGTTTGGGTCCGTTTATCAATATATGGCAAGAGAACCATTATCAGAAACGAATTCGTGCAGCTGGAACAAGGGAATTGCAATCTGAAGAGGAACTTGATCCTGAAAGATTCAAGAATATACCCGAAGCGCGAGTCCAATTGAGCAAACTCGCTGCTGTTCTACTACCAATCAGTCTCTTCTGGTTCGCGTGGACTTCACCACCTCAATATCATATTCACTGGATTGTACCCATACTTGCTACCACGTTATTTGGATACTCTTTCTACACACTTATCTTGATGACTTATCTTTATGTTGAAGATAGCTACATGATATTTTCAGCGAGTGCTTTAGCTGGCGTGGGGTTGATACGAAATTTGGCCGGTGCAGGATTCCCTTTATTTGGGAAACAGATGTTTCTGAATTTGGGATATAATTGGGCGGGAACAATATTAGCATGTTTAGCTGTGTTACTGGTTCCTATTCCTTTCATATTGGAGAAATATGGTTATAGACTTAGAGCGAGGAGTTCGTTTGCGAGACAGCATATGGATAATTAAGATAATGATGATGAAATGAGTATATAAATATAGGGATATAGACAGGAGCATACGGATAGATGTTATTTTAATTTTTCATCATCAGTATGGATACGAAGTTTCAAAGCATGCGCTCTTTCTATACTTGTTTTTTCTTTTCCATTTACCAATACACACCAGCAGGCTCTTTTCAACCCTGCATTCATTGCTTTGCTTTGTTGAATTGATGATGTGTAAGCATATTATCAACATCACCCGCTCGAGCTCATCAGATCCAAGTTTCTCACCTCGATGATTTAGTTCTGCACAATCACATACTCTTATTTCACTTATACATTTGATCTACGTGATAATACTTCTGCCGCAAGAACCATGATCCAGAATTTCTTAATCCCACTTGGAAAGCTGGAGACTGGGAGACTGGGACTTGAGGCAAGATGGACACATTGTTACCGCTACCAGTAGTCAATTCGGTCGAGTAATACATAACAACTACCTATATACAAAGTATGTATCGATTGCTTCATGTCGGGAAATGATTCGAATTAAGTAGTACTAACGGATCTTTCAACATCCATCTGTAGATATAGATGATGAGACTTGGGCACGAGGACTAAAAGAGAGATGGAAAGATTTACGTTGAAAACTATTCTGAAGGAAGCCTCATACTTAGTTTCCTACTGGGTGTGTTTCATCCAGGTGCATCTGCCAAACCCAGCTACATCACTTCACCTAAGAGTCAGATCTCTAGCCACGTACATCTGTCCATAAAGGTTCGATGGACCGATATGTACTATTAGGGCGTTGAACTTCCATACACCTTGCGCCGAACTATTCCTTTCTGGTCGCAATCACGATATTGCTTGATTGAGACATGAGCGCTCATATATTGCGATGAAAAACAGGTCTTTCTTCACAGCAGCCCGATCGCAAACTCCCGGTTCATCACATTCGGTATCTTCGCTCGATCTATAATGCTCGCGAATTCTGGAAAATCCACACTGTCGATATTACTTTCAGCTTGGTCCCGAGCTACAGATCCATGGTCTTTGTTTTGTCGACAAAGGGTTGCATTTTTGTCAGTATCACATGTTGCATATAAAGTGGATAGAGGCCTACTTATCTGTCTTGAATACGAACGGCATACCATTTCTTGCATAACAATTGTGCGATTTTTCCAATAGAATCCTCGTGTTTTGATCGACTCGGAGAATAGAGAAGTCCATCGAGAGCATTGCAATTAGCGCTCATGTATCAAATTCGCCCCTCTTTATAGGTGCGAAAAGAATGTTCAGTTCCGTATTCTTCGATCGTTTTAGTTGGATCGCTGGCGAGACCGAGAAGATTTTTGGTTATAATTGATTTTACTCTATCATCTACATTAGCTAACAGCCCGGAATCTGGATGAAAATTAGCGACATACGATATAGATATGGCTGTGAGTGGAAACTTACCAGATCCAACCACTCCTCCGTGAGATTCTAGTTTCAATTGCATAAACAAGCCCACTTTCTCCACCTGTTCAAGGCCATAGGTTTCGGGATTTAATCCTACTATCAGGAAGGTAGAAGTGATCTAACCAGCTGATTAGTTGATCGATCCACACAAGCGAGATTTCAATGACCTATTTGTGAAATTTTCAGAATCGAAAAGGGAAAGGCATTAGGAACTCCACCGCTACTTTTACCACTACTCAAATCGATTCCATTCGGAAGATAGTTCTGGCATTCTCATCCCATCGAGTGCAATACATCACGTATGCAGCTGAAGCAGAAAGTAACTCCACTATCAATCCATATTCATCCAAACAATGAGCCACATGATCAAAATCACTTTGGTCTGCAAAAGCTTCCACAAAATGAACAATCGTTATTTTTCAAGTGACATACTAGATCTCAGAATAAAACCTCGCTAGTTTAGCTTTACTCAACACCATGAGTATTTTTCGTCCAGGATTTTTGTAATCTAAGATATAATCTTCTACTTGTTCGAGGAGCGATGGGATCAGAATCTCAATATAACATTAATGCATAACTCCACATTCCATATTCGCAACTCCGTTTCCAGAAATGCTTTGCCTATGATGATTCGCGTGGCAATTTCGTCTTGGAAAGGGGGAATATGGATTTCTGGCTGGATTCGCTATCATTCCAATGCTAGTGTAGTAGCCATAGTATTTAGAATTCCGTCGCGTTTCGAGACTCAGGCTGGCTAGCTTCTATCTGATGTTTGCGTATCGAGTAGATATTGGAATAAGAGGGGTACACGATGATATGGTTGTCATTGCTAGCAATCCTGTATCGTAAATTGAGGGAGAAAAGGCCAAGGGCTTCTTGATTTTATAGTTGAAGGGCTAGTTGGGTGGTTAGAGCTTTAGTATCACTGGCGATAAAGTTGAAAAGCGTGGAAAGGAGTTACAATGATGTTCTGAGATGGATTGACTATTTCATGTGTTGACGGTTAAGACAAGAATGTCGTTCTTTACAGTATAATCCCCTGGATATGTCCAAGTAGACTTTAATTGGAAAGTAAATGCTGTGGTTGGACAAGGAAATTTTGAGGACTTTTATGAGAGTCTTAAAGACTGCTTTGCAAGTTAAAAGACACATCTGCTCAGAGAAACTGTAGGAAATCAAGAACTGACTACTAGCAATAAATTACCTATACAGCACCATTACATCATACATCGACATCTAAATTCCCCGAGTATATCAATCCAGATCTCAAAATTATCAAAACCATAAACGCCTCAATTTCTTCAACTTCCTAGTGCGAGATTCCAGCCAATACATCTAATCCACCACCACGAATTCATTTTCAACCTCACAAGTCGGGGACTACCTTACCACCAGCCTCGTAAACTTTCTCAACGAGTTCTTATGACTTTCACTTTCTCAGCACTTTCCAAGATTGTCATATTTGTGTACCTATCACTGTATCTCACATCCAACTCCAGAGCTCTACTACCTACCTTATAGCTTTAGCAACAGAAGTTGCACATCTGGGGAGTTGATATAATACCTCCTAAGCTGTAATTTGTGGTATCGAGAATGCTAATATTTAGATTCGGGTATTTGAATACACAGTATCTTGAATGAAAAGGAGATAAACGACCCCGGTGATTGTTCACACCTAATCTCTGTGCTTGAAGTACTGGATAGATAACTAAGTAGATGGGTGAATAAGTGAATAATCCATCTACACTTATTAAACCCTGGCAAGTCCCGACGTTCGAAAGCCCGAGATATCCATACAGCAAGACTGAAATCTTTGAGCTGGCAGTGAAGATTAAATCTGTAGTCTTGTTTTGTCAAGAGCTTAGGTAGCTTAAAAGCCTTTTATATTTAGATCCTGAAGTTGTAGAAGATGACAACGTTTCTGAAGATTCGAGAGGTTTCCATTTTGAAACCGAACTGCGAACTTGGTTAAGTTTCTGGGGATATCTTGTTATGATGGGTATTCCATCTCTCCTCGGAGACAACATCTGGACTCAAGTTTTCACAATCTGCAGTCTCTCAACCCTCATCTTCCTACTCGTAAGTTCCCATTCAAAATTACCTGATCATTCCCTAACAACCCCATCCAGTACATCGTCTACTCCACAATCTCCAACCTCTACCTGCATCCGCTCTCCCCCATCCCCGACCCCTTTCTCTGGCGCGCCAGCCGCCTCCCCTACATCCTCTCTCTCATACAGGGCAACCTCGTAATCGACATTCGCAAACTGCACTCCCACTACGGCGACATCGTGCGCACCGCCTCCGACGAAGTATCCTTTGCACACGAAGACGTCTGGCACGATGTATTTACCTCCGTCGGCGGCCACAAGCCATTTCCTCGCGATCCGGTATTCTTCAAATCACCCCCCGGACAGGCAGAAAATCTCATCACGACCGTGGATGCCGATACTAGTATGTGCATGCGACAGGTAATCGGACCGGCATTTACGGATCGGGCGGTTGCGAAACAGGAACCGGTTTTGCAGACGTATGTTTCGTTGATGATGGACAAGATGCGGGAGGAGATCCAGAAACCCGAGAATGCGCACGTGGGCGCGCGGATGAATGTGGTGGATTGGATGAATTGGTGGACCTTTGATGTTATTGGGATGTTGGCGTTGGGAGAATCGTTTGATTGTTTGAAGGAGACGGCGAATCATCCGTGGGCGGTCTTGATATTTAATGCGATTAAGGGTATGTTATATTCCATTCCCTACCATCCAGTTGAAACCCCAAAACTCAAGACTGGAGTGCGATTGATATTGCCATTGCTAATGAGAACAGTGATGGCTCTCGCAGCCGCCACCCAATATTTCCCCGGACTGGACTCGCTAATCCTCAAACTCTTTCCCGCTAGCACGCGTAAAATGTAAGAAGGTCATTTTGCGTACGCGGCCGAGAAAATCCATCGGCGTCTGCAGCGTTCCGAATCGGCAGAAGGAGATTTCATGACGGCCATGCTTGATCCGAAAAACAATCCCGATTTTTCAAAAATGAGCATGCCTGAAATCGAAACTACAACTGCTCTTTTACTCCTCAGAGGTAGCGAGACCACAGGAACTACTATTTGTGGAATCCTCAACTGTTTAGTGCAAAATCCTCATGAACTTGCGAAATTGGAAACGGAGGTTCGCACGATCTTTGAGAAGGAAGAGGATATAACGCTGAGCGCGCTTCAGCAATTACCATTTCTGAACGCGGTAGTTAACGAAGGATTACGAATCTGCAATCCCGTTTCGGGAGGACTTCTCCGGATCGTTCCTCGGGGCGGCGCAACAGTTTGCGGACACTTTCTCCCCGAAGGCGTGAGTATTCTTCTCTTCTCTTTTCTTTTCTCTTCTTCCAGTTCCCTAAGTAACCTCTGCATCGATATACATACATACTAACCCATCTCATCTCACCCCTAGACCCACATCGCATGCAACACCATCGCCATGGCGCTCAGCGAACACAATTTCCACCACTGTCTCCAATTCCTGCCTGATCGGTATCTCCCCTCCCATCTCCGCCCCAGTGAATACACCAACGATAATCGCAATATCCTGAAACCATGGGGATTAGGTTCACGTGTGTGTTTGGGACGATCATTCGGACAGGCAGAATTGCGATTAGTACTCGCGCGCTTGGTGTGGAATTTTGATCTGCAAGGTGCGGGTGGGAAGGGGGTGAATTGGTTTGAGCTGAAGAATTATATTGTGGTGCAGAAGGAACCGATTTGGGTTGCCATTAGGGAGAGGGGGAAGATGTGATGTGATGTGATGTGGGAAGCGAAATTCAGATGGAGCGATGTGGATTGGATCTGGTTGTGGAGATTGAGAGATGGTGTGATATACTGGTATGCTATGCTGCAGTATGTCGGGAGGCTCTTTTGTGAAGACTTGATTGTCTTGGGATAGAGCACTTTTTTTTTCCACGGATGAGGATTGTGGACTTTTCTGGTGGTATTTAGATGCATGGCAATTCTGACGTCCATATCTAGACTATCTAGTTGGCTGAATAGATCATGATCCCATGTTTCCGTGTCCTAAAATAGTGACATCACTTCACTTCACTTCACCGAACCCCTATCAAATAACAATCATTCCATATATGAAATTTAATTTTCACTAAAGACGAATTCACAGATTCAAACAGCCAAAGCTCCAGGCCATGCAAGTGATTCTAGTTTGAAGTTTTTAGAAGATTCATATGTATGTTCAGATTTCCTACTAAATGATACTTGAAAAAAGGTAGCCACCTAGCAGCCCCTATGCCTAAACTATGTGTGTAACCAAAACCGCCCACCCCAACCCCTTCGCCCATCCATTCCCATCAATTCACCTTGATATTTTGTTTTTCCACTGTACTTGCTCTAGTAAGTTGATAAACAACCAATCAACCATTCATTTAATCATTTCATAACAAATCGTGCAGCCATTACTCTCAAATCGCGTTCTCTCCAACACCACCTAGCCTACTCCTTAAATCTCCAATATAATCTTGTTGTTGTTGCTTCTCCATCTTTGCCGCCACGAGCGCAATCAATGCAGCGCCGACACCAGATCCATCCTTGGCAATACCAATTCTGATTCTTCTCTCGCCAGCAGCTCCAACACCATCCATAGCTCTCAAAGCTTCTCTCATATGATCTTCAAATCCTGGGTAGAACTCAACAAGAGAACCGTCCACACCAATATCAATGACATCTTCCTCGTTGACAGCCAAGCCTGCTGTGTCAGCGAGTTTATTGGCAGTAGCTGATGCTGCATCGGCAATCTTCAAATCCTTGACATCTTGAATAATAGCAGCTGTTGATTTTGGTCCAGGGGCATCAGATTTGATGTCGAGACGACCAGTTTGGAGAACAACGGCACCAATTGCGACAGCGGCCAAGCGAGCTGCACGTTTGCCAATAGCATGAGCGATTTCCTTGACGGTTTGAGCATCTTCCAATGACGCAGCTGAGACACCGAGAGACTTCTCAAGTTCTTGACGAAGGGCACGAAGACCAACGCTACTGTCAGCTTCTGCGATCGAGAGAATAGAACTATCAACCGCCCATTGCTTGAAAAGAGGACCGGCTTCGTCGACTGTAGTTGTTGAGTGATAGTCGTTGTCTGCGGAAGATTGGTCTCTGAAAAGTGGAATAGTAGGGCTCTTGATCATTTGAACGAGAACAGTTCTGAGAATTTCACCCAAGAACATGCCAGAAACTCGCTTTTCGAACATTTGAATACCAGGGTTGACACTGTCCTTATCAAGGATTTGATCATAAATGGTATTTGGCAAAACTTTGAGGCCATTGTCGAACGAGCCCCATTCTGTGTTGACAACCATTTCACCAGTTGTCTTATCGAAATCTCCTTCCATGGGCTTAGTCAACTTCTCGAGCTTCTCAACATAGGCACCATTGGTACCAGTACCAAAAATTGCTCCGAGTAAGGTCTGAGTCTTTCCAGGTGAGGTATATGCTCTTGCCATCAATGTTCCAACTGTATCGTTTACAAGAGCAGCGACCTTCACTGGCAAGTGCAGTTTATCAATCTCCTTTTGTAGCAATTCGCAAACATCTTGTCCAACGGCATCCGCAATATCGAAGCCCTTTGTCCATCTAATCAAGGTTCCTCTGTTGATACCAATTTGGTGAACTGGGAAACTGAACGTGAATCCAAGTCTAAAGATATGTTCATCTCTGAAACCTTCTGGTGTGCTGACAGTATTGCGACGTCTAATGTGGGCCGCGAAATGGTCCTCGTGATGGGTCTTGAGGAAAAGTTCGATTTGTTTTGCCAAAAATGAAAAAAGGTCCGATGCGGTCTTAGCCAACATCAACTCCCGGGGTATCGCAACCTTTGATTGTGTAAGACTGAATGTGGTATCTCCGTGCAATTGAATTGAGCAAACTCGGAAATTGGTTCCTCCAAGATCGACCGCTAGATATAGTCCCTATTGATTCATCAGCTTTGTGCATCGGAAATGCGGGTCCACTTCTCCTACCTTTTCCGTTCCATTAGGAACTCCAGTCACGTATGTTGGAATTTGGCTCATGTTTGTTGCATTCTTTTCCAATCCCTCATCTACGCAGACGTTAATTTCAAGCCTTGAATTCGTTGGCAGACAAACATACTCATCTCCGCGACAAATTCAGCAACACCTCGTCGCACATCCTCGTCTGTGTATTCAAACTCGGCAGCAACGCGCTTTGATTCTGCTAATAAAGACATTTTGTGCGGTCTTGATATTGGCGCTTCTGTGGGAAATGGATGTGGTGATTCACAAGTTCCTTGATCCAAAACGTTGGCTCTAGGAGAGTAGGATGTTGGTGAATATGGATGGGAAGATCCCGAATAAAGCGGAGGGGTATCAGTGAATAAGAATTGAACAATCTACGTATAAAGAATTAGTAACAAGCAACAGAATCCAATAATGGCTCGTGATTGATTTACCAAGGCAATAGCCACAAAGGTTACAGAGGCTAAATGTATGAGGCTGATTGGATTTGGTCTCGAGACTTTGCGAGGTTTAAATAGGTTGGATTCTTTAAAGGATGCTGGTGTTGGTTTTGTTGATTGAGAAGGAGGTTTGGAAGAAAAGAAGTGAGCAAAAATGGAAGAAGAAGGAACAGAAGATTGAGAATATAATTCGGAAGTTGAAGGAATCTTCTTCCTTTTAGAATTGAAGTTGGTGGGCGGGTCGCCCTTTCCAATTGAGGACGTAATTTTGGTTAGGATGGGGGAGTTTATGGCCAACTTGGCGGGAGGCGGGGCAATTCAGATATCTCGATTACACACTCGTAACACAACCAAAGCCTGGGAAACTTTGGAGGGGCAGAGTTTGGAGTCGGGACCCAAGATATCTCCACTTATTTGTGAGGAATTCGATGATTCGATTGGTTGATATCAATGAGGCCCTCTACAAAAAAGGGCCGTCTAATGCGGTGCTAGTTGTGTTACTTTCAACCTCTTCCTCCAAGGAACAAAGGAAGAAAGGAAAAAAATGCACTTGAGGGGGGAAGGGGGGGTGAAAATGATGATGATGCTGTTTCTTTATCAAGACCCTCCTTGAAAAGGATTAGTTCAAACTCCGAGGGTTGAGAAAGTTAGAGTCTCAATTCATGAATGGTCAAAGGTAGATGCGTATAATGTATCGAGCAGTGAGAGAAAGAGAGAGAGGAAGCATTCGATGCATTAACAAGAGTCGATACAATTGGATCTTGGGTTGGTACGAGTGTGGTAGGGTAGGGTAGGTAGGTATGGATGACTATTTGATCTATTAATTCGATCGTGATCGTATTATCGTGTGATAGGTAGTAAGATTTGGATGGATGCTGCAGATAGATGGATGGATATCTGTCGAACTAGAAGAGTGCATGTACGGTATGTACTCTCGTGCAGTAAGTAGATGACAATTCCGAGTATAACACAGATTCCGTAATGAAAGCTTTGTTCTCTTATGCTCTCTTGTGCTCTCTCCCCTCTCTTGTCTGGGAACCCCAAATGATGGTGGAGGTGGTGGATGCGATGCAATTGAATGGTCCTTCCTTGCTTTTTGCTAATGAGGAGAGAAGAATGATGGAGTCTCCGAGATTTCGCGGAGAATAGAATCTTGCTTGCACCGTTCGTGGAGAAGAAAAAAGTTTGAAAATTCGTTGAATTGTATAGAAGTATTGTGACGTCGTAATATGCAGTCGATACCTCAAGAATGGAGAGAGAAAAATCGAAGAAACGAATGGGGAAGCTTGATTGATGCAGGGGACGAAGGGAAGGTGCTTTTCTCCCCTCGGTCAAATGATATCTCTGATTAGTATTGGACAGCTGTTGATATCGATATCATAGAAGTTCGAGACCTTTTGCCATGCGCATCGACCCCTTCATCACCATCGGCAAAAAAAGATTATGATGTCTTCTTCAAATTATAACTGTCCTCGGTATCCCCTGTATATAATTTCTTGTCTGGATTTCGATTTCGATTCTGATCCCGAATTTCTTCTTCGCTTTCCTTTATATCATCAGAACTACTCGTAGGTTTGGCTGATCGATCGAATCCTAGTGGCTGGTATGATGGTGACTTCTCAAGTTTCGGTTGTGCTGTAACGTGTACATGAACATTAACCACCACGTTTGGATGGAACGAAAGGATATGTACAGAAACGTATTTCAGAATGATTCCTACACACATTTGAAATGAATGGCACCTATGCTTTGAGGACTCAAATGGAAATTTACTACACAATTCTACATTCCTTTGCTGAGGATACACCGGAGCAATTAAGTATCAAAGATGGGGAAGTTTGTTGAGGACGTGCCTCCATTCACACCTGACAGAACATCAGAGCTCAGATTCAAGTGTATGGAATCTGTCGCATCTGCCAACTGGTTCATGAATTTCCCCAGGAATTCATAAGAAATATGATGTAATTTTGTTTCATCAATACATAGCATAGTCAGTTCTAATAAGCACATCGACGATTTAACATCACAATGAATGATATCGAAAAGTTGGGATAACCTGATGAGAATATGGCTGTTCCTCTCGATTCTGTGTTTCTATAAAGTACATGTATCTTACTGGACACATATCTCAAGTGTTATTGAGATATGTTATCTTGAAATCGATTCCAAGACTGCCTCGACATTCTGCTGTCCGTTTCCAGACTATCATTGAGGCGTACACCCCTCAAACTCATGTTGATCATCCTGCAGTTCGTGTTACACTACCATATATGTTGATCATGGCTTTCTGAAATCAACAATAATTAGACGCCAGGTCAGGGGTAAATTGCAGATCGTGAATCGTCAGCAAGGATCGGATATTCATGGAGTTACAGGTTGTTCAGATTGTATTGCACCGTTGCCATGTCTAATTTCTGGCCAGGTAGGTATCGATTTTGCCTCGTAAACATCACAGAGTTATATCGGTTGTCTAATCTCGCCAAAGGGACGAAGGAGAAATCTTGCCTTTTCGTTCCGCAAGTGAGCTTGCAATACATTACCATGATTCCAAGGTGTACTGGAAGTTCGAAGTTCGCAGAAGAGTCATTGGACTTCCTCATTGGATTTGATCGTGAATACCCTTTCTTTGTTGCAGAGGCAAAGCATTAAGCAAACAGAAAACTGCTTCAAGTCTTACGATTTAGACGGGTGCCGGGTTGCCGAACCCTCTCCTGTGAAACCCTACGAGTTGAGAATCGATTGCGCCGCTCTCGCTGCCGGTTTCCGAAGGTCGGTTCAGAAGGACATTCTGATCACTTCCAAGTGATACCGCACGATACGGATAATAAGGGAACCCTCGCATCATTCATCTCCTTGCGAAAAGCGCCTTGGTTATTCCGGGTGGGCACGATGGGTTGATTTGATTGTTGATGAAATTTCCATATGATGTCAAAATAATATGGAAAAAATGTTGGATTGACTTCATCTCATATTATCCTCTTGCCAGCTCGTGTATACTTCTTCTATCTAGTGCTTATCCCATGTGTTGGTGATTCCCACTTCTTCTGCTCGCCGTCGATTCTTTGTTGTTCATGCACGCGCTGAGAATTCGTATGATTGCCAATGAAAGATCTGATGTACATGTAAGATTTGGAACGCATTAGAGTGCAAGATTTCATACCGAGGTTTTGCATCGGCGAATACAAACAATTCCTCCTTGATGCTTCAGAGCTTTCTTGTGTGTAATCATTCAAGGTTTGAGATTTTATATCTATCTCCCTAGTGCACCAATCATATGGAATGTCAAGGGGGAGAGTATATGAAGTTGGGGGCGGAAAACCAACATCGTGGGTTCTAGATGGTCTCGTAAATTGGTTATGATGTATCAAAAATTGCAAGGCCAAGACGGAGACTGAGATTTCAAAATCGGTGAGAGGATTGAAGGGTGGGAAAGTCCTACAGACCTACATACTTGTTGTACCTACAAGAAATCCCAAAATACTTTCCCTTTGTATTTTTGACCTTTTGACGGTGAAGGAATTGAATAAAGTCTTGGAATTTATCTTCTCAAGGCAGATCATTCCGAATAATAGAAAAGGGAAAAAGCCCAACTTTGCATTGCCCAACATAAAGTATATTTCTTTCTTTCTCTCCATAGCAGGGACTCAAGTCGAGGCTGTGCCTCGATGTGCTTAAGTAATGTTACTCAGGTAGGTACGGACGGGTAGCTGGGGAGATTTCCGGTTTGGATTCCTTTGATGGGTAGTAGGTACGCTCGGTACGTTTAGATATATGTTGATGAGGCTGAGTATTGTTTTATCTCCTCCATAAAGCCACCGGTGTAGGTTCATATGCATCAGTACTGGCGTTGTTGTGCTGTGCGACCAAAAAAGAGAGAGACGCCTCGTTCGTTACAAATGTCTATTCCTACTTCAGAAAGGGAAGGAAAAGGGAATCCATTTCCCGCTGCAACCACAACATATATATATATATATATATGTATATATATAGGTATGTAAAAATCAACCCATCTGTTTTGTGAATGCTTCTCAAGTAAACTATGATTTAAATCGAATCCTTCTGTTTTGCAAAAGGACATATAATCTCGGACTGACCGGATATTTTGACGGTTTTATGTGGCTGCCCCCTTTTACTCCTCTCGTTGCTTTTCTCTTTCGATCGTGTCTCTGCTTCTGTGTACTCCGTCGGTATGCATACCTAGACGTACCTAGGTACATACAATTTCCAAACAGGCAAATAATAAACAACCAGCAAGCAATCCCTACTTACAGTCCCTACTCGCTATTGAAGAACAAAGCGAGCCTGAACCCGCATAAAACCTTAGTTGACTTATTACTGCTGTCAGCATACCATCGAGAAAGAACACATTCACTATCCATTTACCACCGGCTTCCCCCATCGCCCATCGCCCTCCGTTAACCTTCCACTTTCATCGATTCATTCCACCCATTCCACCAATTCCATCTTCTCATCACCCAACAACCCATCCCACAATCCACCCACTACCACCCACTGCCACCCACTGCCACCCACCACCACCCAACCTTACTCTCCTTCCCTTACTTGACCTCTCTACGATACAATATTACACTTCATACCTCCCTACGTACTCCAAATACCCCAAGTGTTGCCTCTCTATCCAATCTTTCAATCTTTCAATCTTTCAATCCTCCAATTCACCAAATTCGTTGTTCGCATCCCCATCTCATCAACAGACCTACCTACCGAAAGATCCATTTTATTTATCACGTATACACAAACTCCACTCGCTCACCCACTAGTCCTCAATAATCATTCATACCTACCTCCAATATTACTATTTGACTCAGTAGGACTTTATTTTATTTTAATATCCCGTTCCTGCAGATTTCATGTCATCCGTACACTTTGGACGAGAAATCCTTCCGACCAGGTCAAAAAGAATTTCGATCGACTCAGCCCCAAGTCGCTAGGGAACTAGCGACAAGTCAATAGGTTGGCTGACACCGGCGACTGGATATCCATCGCATTTGAGATACGATTACGATACCATTTCATTCCTCCTTCGTCCTTCGCTTTCTACGACTTTTACTTCTTTGAGAAGTTTTCTTTAAAATACCACCCTTCGTAGACCTTATGAGTTCTATGAACGCCCGCTTCAAAAGCCTTGGGTTCGGTTCCAAACGTAAATCAAGTGCAAACAATATCTCAACCTCTATCCCGCAGAACCCCACTTCCACTGCCTCGTTACCACAACTCGCGCAATTACCCGGACAGCCTGCCCCTACTACACAAACTGCTTCCTCTTCCACCGCAAGCTTACCTATGAATCATCAGGGAGGTGCTGGCGTAAGACCGCCCAGCTACTCTAATCAATATACTCCTGTTGGACGCACGACGTCTCCCATGGCTCAAGGTACTCCACGAACCCCTCCTACACAGATGATGGGCGGACCACCACCGATTAACACAGCAGCCACCGGTGGTTATCCTCCTCAACAAGGAGGTATGGGAGGACCTCCTCCTCCAGCTGGGCCACCTCAATACAATCATCCTCCTCAGTATGGTGCTGGAGGAGCACCGATGCAAGCTGCCGGCCCTCAGTATGGTGCAAGGAATAATGCGGTAGAGGTCGAAGGCGCTGGTAAGAGTAAGGCACAGCTCATCGTCGGAATAGATTTTGTAAGCATATTGTGATCTCTCCCGGAATTCGCATAACTAATTCACGACTTTTAGGGTACGACTTTCTCAGGTGTAGCCTTCGCTTTTGCGACCAACACCGAGGCAAAAGAAGACATTATCACCGAATGGCCCGGGCGGGATCATATACAAAGCAAAAGGTGATATATGGAAATTGGCTGTTGAAGATTCATAAATAAGCTAACATCTGTAGATTCCCACCGTCCTTTACTATGATCAATACCAGAAAGTCGTTGGGTGGGGTCCTGATATTGCAGATGCTTTGGCACCAACTGGTTACCCAAAGCCAGGTGTTCAAAAGGTAGAATGGTTCAAGCTTCAATTGATGCTATCCGGAAACACATATATCGATCCCATCAACCTTCCTCCCCTTCCACCAGGAAAGTCCGAGATCGACGTCGCAGCAGATTACCTTTTCAAACTTCGACAAGCAATGAGAAATCAATTACAAAAGACTTTAGGAGAGGTGTTCAATCGAGAAGAAAGAAATATCCGATACTACCTTACAGTCCCCGCTATTTGGAATGATGCTGGAAAAGCTGCAACCCGAGCTGCTGCCATTCAGGCTGGATTCTTGAGGGATGAGAACGATAATCGATTGACACTGATTACAGAACCCGAAGCTGCTGCTTTGTTCTGCTCAAAGGCTGGTCTCTTGAACCTCAAGATTCATGACGCTGTACTCATTGTTGATTGTGGTGGTGGAACTGTCGATTTGATTGCGTATGAGGTTGAGGAAGAGTCACCATTCACGGTTTCCGAGTGTACGGCAGGATCTGGTGATTCTTGCGGATCTACTGCATTGAATCGAAACTTTAGTAATATCTTACGAACCAAGATCCGAAAGATGAAGTTACCCGAAGGTTCGAAGACAGCCGGAAGAGTGTATGCGAAGTGTATTATGGACTTTGAGAACAGAATAAAGGCAGATTTCAGAAATAACAATCAGAAATGGGCAGTGGACGTGGGAATTGAAGCAGAGTTCCCCGAGGCAGGAATTGAAGAGGGATATATGACTTTCACCAACGAAGAAATTCTACAATGTTTTGAGCCAGTCGTCAACCGAATTCTGGAATTGGTTCGCAACCAAATCATTGCAATTCAAGCACAAAACCGAACACTCCAGAATGTCTTGGTTGTTGGTGGTTTCGGTGCATCTGAGTATCTTTTCCAACAGATCAAACTTCATGTACCACCTCAGTTCCAAGCTAAGGTAGTTCGTCCTATGGATTCAGTAGCTGCTATTGTTAAGGGTGCCGTTACTGCTGGTATCACCGAAAGGGTCATTACATCCCGTGTAGCTCGTCGTCATTACCTCATGGCAACTCTGCAACCTTTCAAGGAAGGACATCATCCAGAAGCTTACCGTGTTCCATCCTTGGATGGTAAGGATCGATGCAAGTTTACTCGTCAAATTTTTGTACAAAAGGGACAAAGAGTCAAGATTGGTGAGCCAGTCAAGGTATCATTCTTTAGACAGGTTGCACCGGGAGCAACTCTGATGTATGAGGACATCTTGTATGCTTGTGATGATGATGTTTGCCCGGAATACACAAAGGATCCACGTAAGTTTCTCTGTAACCCGGTATATCCTAGTATTTACTAACATATCAACAGGTGTCAAGGAAGTTGTTACTCTTACCTCGGATCTCTCTCGCAAGAATCTTGAAAAGGATTTCGAGAGAATGGATACCCACAAGGCACATTCTACCGAGTGTACTTTGATATCTACCTCACCCTCGATGGATCCGAATTCAATGCAGAACTTGTTTGCCAAGGAGAAGTCATGGGCCGTTGCACTTCTAGATTCAGATAATCTTTCCTCTCCATCAACCATAAAAAAATAATAAGGATTGGATTCGACGAATTTCTTTTTTTTACTTCTTAGCGTTGTTCGATATCGGGTTACTTACAGTAGCATCACAATTTGCGATGCACGGCGCTGGAGTGTAAGGAAGCAATTTAAGATTTGATAGCAGAAAGCGTTTCTGCAATGATTTCATGACGAACTGGGGAGATTATTGAGCAAAGAAGAAGTGCCTGCCTGGGTCGACTGATGAGGAGTGATCAGATCTAAAACTAGTGGTGAGATTTACATGATGGATGGATGAAAATTCAGTCGTTTGGATCAGATGAGGTTATTTTTTCTAGCAGAATGGATGATTTTTTGCATCTTAATGATAGGGACGAATGGATCCATAGTTTAGAGAGTTGATACGATACCTATTTGCTCATTTTGGTCTGTAGTTGGTGATAAATACACGACTATTGAAAGATTGAGATTTAGAATTGCAAATGTGGCTGGGTGATGCGATGTCTCTATAATGATTTCAGTATTTAGGTCTCTATCGAATCAAATCCATCACAGTGGAACTACATACATATCCTTATACTCCTCGTAGTATCCCTAAGCCCTACGACTAGTCGTCCTCCCTTGTGACGCTTGTGTCTCGGTATCGGTAGCACCCGTGAATAGTTTCCTTCCCTTCCTAGTAACCGCCATCACAATTACCGTTTTCCGAAAACCATCCAATGAGACCATCTAAAATGGAAGGCACTAATGCCATCGTACCTGACGTTTTACTACACTAAGTCGGTATCAAAGTAACAACAATACCTAGATAGATTGAAATGAAACTTTTTCACTGTGTACATACACACTCACCAACCATTCGTTATTCTTTAATTCTTTACAATTCTTTACACTCTTTTGAAAACACTTTCTTAAACATACATTCTTTAACCACGCTCTTTTACACCTACCTATTTGTATATTTATAATTCATTCAAGAGCCTCCACTTGAGCGCTTACCTACATACATTCTTTTTACTTGTAGTAACCTTTCTTGGGGTTAAAGCTTTTGCAGGTGGTTAACACATCATTCCACACCTACCTAGCAGTATACGTACTGGCTGGCTCACATACTCCCATTCCAAACCCTTACAAGCTCCCGCTGTCAAAAGAACTAAACTTCGTCCATAAAGCGTTGAGGATTTGAGGGTTGGGCTGCGGTGTGGAGGGACCGTACGGAGGGATAGGAATAAGGATAAGAGGGGTCAAAATCAAGATTTGTATCCTGGTCGTTTCGTGCGAAGACGAGGAATTGATATTTATAGCGGTCTTGCAATTGGTACTTTTATCCCACCCTTTCGAGTTCATAAACGAGTATTCGGAGCCAAGGTACTCGGATACGTCATTTTCTTGTTTTTGAAGGTGCGATAGGAGAGGATACTTGGGTATACGATACGTAGGATATATACTTTGTGATTTGGTGGAGGGGCAGTTTTTGGAGGGCTGAAGAGGGATTTGGATGATTGATTGATCGAACGGCTTTTCTGAGTATTATTGAAGGGTTCCTGCTCCACTGCCTGTTTACCTGGGAACTTTCGTCTGGGGTTTATTTACTTGACTGGTCGTCGGCTTTTCTCCATAATTGCAACATTGAACTCTGACCGGAAAAATTGGACCTGGGAAGTTTGGTCTTGGTTCAGGAGGGATTGAGTGATTGGTATGGAAACGATTTGTTTGGGAAGTTTCTAACCAACCATATCCGTTCATATCAGATCGGAGGAGAATAACCATATCAGACGAAACCAACCAGGCTAATTCAACCAAGTCGAAGAAATCTTGCTTCATCTTATCCACGATATCAAGGAATAATCCGTGGCGATCCAGGATCCTTGATTCTATTATAACTTTAACTTCCTCTGGCTTGATTTTGTTTGTTTGGATACTTTGCCTTCTTTTTCTACGAACTTGTGTTGAGATACAAATTTACGACTGTGAATGCGAGTCACGACCTTACGAATTGAACGATAACATATTTTGAGAACAAATTCATCATGGAGTGCGAAAAAGCACAGGATAGGATGAGTTCCACCAAATCGCATCGATCGCGAAAATCCTCCTCAATGTCCAGAAAACTCCTGGCTGCTAGTATCTGTCTTGCTATACTTCCTATTGCAGATGCTCATACATACTATCGCAACAGAGCTACCTGGAAACCAAACTGGGACCCGAATCGACCTGTTCGAAAAGGTCCTCCTAAGAAGAGAGATGGCGCAATTCCACTAGTAATAAGCAACATGTGTCCTGAAACGATATGGCCTGGAGTTGGTACTCAAGCGGGAACTGGTGCTGGAGTAGGAGGATTTGCTCTTCAAACTGGAGAGAGTAAGTCCTTGTCAGTCAGTGCCGATTGGCAAGGAAGAATTTGGGGACGCACCAATTGTAGTTTTGCGGTTGGGGGTGATGGAGCTAGTAATGCTGCCGGAAATGATGGTTCTGGTTCTGCTTGTGTTACTGGTGATTGTGGTGGTCTCTTGGATTGTTCTATTACTGTAAGTTTGTTCAATATTATTACATGCGGATAGTTACTCACTGTTGTAGGGAGAAACTCCTGTTACTCTAGCAGAGTTTGATTTGGCGGGAAATGGAGGTTCTCAGACTTTCTACGATATTTCCCTAGTGGATGGCTACAATATCCCTATGGGAATTATATATATTCCTGGTGATAATGCCGCACTCCAGGCCATTCCACCAAATCTTGTAAATGCCGCTTGTATTGCCTCAACCGGTTATCTCGCGCCCCCAGCTACCACAGGTACAAATGGCAACTCCTCAAATTCCACTTATCCCATCCCACTAGAGAGCAAAGTTACCAACGACGCAGCTATGAGTTGGTGTCCATGGAATCTTCAAAAGACTCCACCCGACAAACCAGGAGATGGCGTCTACCCTTACCCGGACGACACCATCCAACGTCCAACATTCGATCCCTGTCTTTCCGCCTGTGCTAAAGATAACAAGCCGTCAGATTGCTGCACAGGTGCTTATGATCAACCTCAATTATGTCCTCGCAATGACTTTGCAAATGCGGCAAATACTATCTGTCCAGACGCATATGGTTATCCGTTTGATGATCAGACATCCACGTTCGTTATTCCTACGGGAGGTGGATGGGAAATTGTGTTTTGTCCAGTAGGAAGGAGCACGAATATTTTGAAGGTATTAGGGGATCAAATGAGGAAAATAGCTAGTGAGGGAAAAGTTACAAAGGATATTATTGAGGCTGCGATGAATGAGACGTATATTAATGAAATGGCGGTTAAGAGTACGGCGGGAGAGGGATTGTCGGAAAAAGCGAAATTAGGGAGCTGGGGAGCGTTGGTGGGAGTGCTGGTTTGGGGAATTTGGTTGTGTTGATAATTTGATGATGGAAGGGGAGTGGATAGAATGGATTAGATTGGATTGAATTATTGGACAGGAGGATGGGAATGGTAGACTGAAGATAGGGAATTATATGAAAGGGGGGGTGGTAAGATGGGAGATGGGGATTGCATGTTATGTGGCGTTGAGATACCCTTATTATTGTGTACTGGATTGTTTTATTTGCTTTCGTTGGGTAGAGGGATGGTATAAGATAGGTTGGGATGAGATGTGAAGATGAGATGAATGACGTACCTGAGTTTTCTTATGATACCTTTACCTATTAGATACCTATTGTATTACATATCTCCATGCCTTTACAATCCTGGCATGTTAATTCCTCGAATCTGACCACCTAAAGAGGTAGAAATTGTAATAATAAGGAATCAATAAATGTAACGTGAGAGATACCCCATCGTTCAGTTATCCAATCATCTAATCCACACCTAATGATTCAATGCGGTTATGTACAAGGGAAACGGAAAAGCGGTTATCGGCAGGGGCCCGCGTTTCCGCGGTTAGAGGGGTTGAGGATTTAATTGGTGTGGTATGCGTTTGAGATACTGCACAGCGTACGGGATGGGGAATGGGTGGACGAATGAGAACTTCAGGAGAGAAGGTTTGGGAAGTGGGACCCACTTGTAGGTGTGGGTGTGGGATTGAAGACTTGAAGACTTGAAGTGTGGTGGGAGGAGAGGAGAGGAGAGGGGTTGGTGGTTAGATTTTAGGGTTTGGGTTTTGGGTTTTGGGTTTTAAGCGCTGGGGTTGAGGGGGACAGTGGGTAGATGAGTGAGTGAGTGAGGAGTGAGTGAGTCAGGAGGGAGGAGGGAGGCGGATATATATGTGTGTGTGTGAATGAGTGTAGTGAATGGTAAATGATGAGGAGAAGCTATGTAGGTTAGTAGGTTAGTAGGTAGGTAGGTAGTTGTAAAAGTAGGACTTTATCAATATTGGGAGAGGTTTTGGGTTTCCTCGGGTGAAAACAATGCGACGGGATGGGATAGTATAGGATGGAATAGAGAATGGCAAACTAAGTGATATTAGGCTATCGAATTAGGACATGAGTACCAAACTTGAGCGCGAAGTCTAGGAATAGGATTCCTCTCTCTGATCCGTAACAGGGGAAAGGAGGATTGTTTGCGTGGAGATTTGTGTTTTATATGCACACATGCAATACTACTCTATACTGTGCTGCTGTGCCGTGTATACATGCTCGCATGATATTGATCTTGATCTGGATACGTTGTGCAGATAGACGCCCATGTCGTGGATATATGCATGGGTATATGTGTAAGGGTGTGTGGGTGGATTTTTTGCCACGGGACCGAGAAGAAGGAGGGGAGGAGGATAGAGGGTGGAGAATTCTTATGATACCTGTTTCTTGAATTTATCTGGTGTTTGGATTCTGGAGATTGTTCTTGTGATTGTTTTGTTTGAGTTTATTGTTCTTTAGGTTTCGGAGCTGATTACCGGATTTGGTAGACAGGGAAAAAGAGAGAAAGAAAGAGAGACTGAGAAGAAAGGTATGCTGTGTGCTCTCTGCGATAGTATTAATGTGACCGATCTTATTCTCCTGGCAAAAGCCAACTGGGAAGCCCTCCAACGTCGTCAAGAAGCAGAATCCTATACCCCCCTTCGCTGGAACCATCATTCTAGATACGATGAGATTGTATCAGCCGCCGAAGCCGGCTGCGAGCTCTGTAAGGTTGTGGAGAGAGCGTTAGATGGGGTTTTTTTGTTGGACGGAGGGATTATGAAGACGTATAAGGCTGAGATGCTGGAGATAGAGGAAGAAGGGGGGAGGGGATTGGATCTGGAGATTCAGGTGGAGGTGAAAAGGGGTGCTAATGAGGGGGTGGAGAATGAGAGTGCGTATGATAAGTTGGTTTTTTATTTGAGGGGGAGGAGTGAAAAGGTGGTTTTGACGTTGTCGTTGCAGAAGCGGAGAGGTAAGGTACTTACTTGGCTGTTTGATCATCAAGAAAGATCACTGATGT